TGGTGAGTATCCCATGCACCAGTTTGCGGCTGGTCCGAGGCAGGCCGAAAAGTACATTCGCGCAAGGGCTCGCTCTGAGTGACCTTGTCTGTGACGTCAAGAGTTAGGTGGGCGTCTGGCAGCAGCGACCACTACAGCATAGCGACTGTATCCTATAAATACCGCAACTGCCTATGGGTGTGAACTATCCGTTTTACATACTGGCTCTACCTACGGGTTTGAAGCGGTCTAAGTAGTGTTTTTATTTAGTGCACTACAATCGTAAGGCCAAAATCCCAAGCTGTAAACTGAACACGCCGCAAAGTGCTCATGCATTAGCTACACGCATAACTACACGATTAGAAAATTACATTATTATACTACTCGTAACACGTGAGTAGCCACGTACGTTTACTCTTTTCGATTGACCTTTGGCTGCTCACTTTTCGCCTGAAATTATTTAAACGAAGTCTTTTTTGATTTTTCTTCTTCATCTATGCCTTTTTAGCCACTGTTATCAATAGAGAAGCTGTAGTTGTCTAAGTTTTGGTTGTAGTCGTATCATTGCAATCACTAGGTTGAATCCCAGGTTGTAGGTAAAAGACAGAAGTCAACAGAAGGAGGGTTTTACTGTGAACATAATCTTTTTTGTTGTCTCAGGCAGCTGTGGCCACTGGCGAAGCCAGGGCTGGTTGTGCCTGCGTCCAGTCGTGCCAGAGAGGATGCGTGTGCGTGATTTGATGATGATATTTACTTTTACATGATTGTGAATCGAGTTCAAATGGTTTGCTATTGGTGTGTTGAATTGGTCGAGGGGATGTCGCCTGTAGAGGCCACCTGCTGCGTTGGCCAAGGAGGTGGAGTGCTAAGTGGCTCTTAGGAAGCCGCGACTAGTTTGGCACGCGTGTGGGTGCGTCTGTGTGCTCCCGTGCGTGTTCAGATGAATATCGGTCAAGCGTTTTAAGATCAACGAGTCGGATTGTCGCCTGCGAAGACGAATGACTTTGGGAGCCGCTAGCATTAACCAAGGAAGTGGAAACGGGGCAGATGATAAATGGAAAGAGCAATTAAAATTTACCCCAAAAGTACCAACCCTGCCACCCTTTAAATAACGCAACAGAGACAGTTTCAGGCAGGCATCCCAGAATCTCTGATAAAAACAGGCTAATATGAATGTGAACCCAATTGCTGTAGGTCCTAGCAGGTTGTATTACGCTGGTGTCTAGCCCTTGTACTATAATTTTAATTGATCGCACATAATCTCGCAAGTTGTCGGATAGACCAAAGAAAATATACCAAACATAGTCACAGCAGTCTAAGATTGTGTGTTGAATTAGTGCTGTCATACCGCCATCCATGATTATAAGAACGCGGATTGTACCTTACCCGAGAATACGCTAATTGTGCCAGTCGGATAATGCAAAATGGCAAGGATAGGTTATGTAAGCCCCCTAGGTTTGCGATAAGCCTGGCCTCTATTTGTTTCACATTTCATAGATATAGGAAGTAACCCTAATACTTTCATATGAGGACATGCACAGATTTGTTTTATTGTGGTTTTTGCTACTGAATTTCCTTTTATTTATCAGGAGTTATTTTCTGTTTATCTTTTCATATTTGCTGTCAATTTGATTACTTTATGTAGGCCTCGATGCATGAATGTGGGGGATATTTCCTTTTTTTATGTTTTCTTGTACACATTTTGTTGCTTGTCCATGATGAGGACCCATTCGTAAAATTCCCTCTAGCGTCTTTCTCGTTTAACGTGATCTTGGGGTTAACGGTGCTTAGGGGATGTTACATAACTCAACCTTGCCTGCAAAGTAATTACTTCAATTTCTGCCCAAATAAAACACGCTACATGTACAGGGGGATTGACGTCCCGGGAAATCGATCAATATGATATAAAATGCATTTCATCTTCATGCAACCTTTTCGAAAATGAAAGTGGAGAAATGGCTAGCTGAAGTTGTTGTCCAAAGGTACCATCTACATTCCCAAAGGCACGATCCTGGCGCCAGTTTTAAACGTTTGAAGTAATATGAGTAACATTTTGGTGCCGTTCAGAAGTAAGCATCTGTTTGCCTGAAGCAGTGATCCACCTCCGGATTAGTCTGAACAAGAAACTGATCACGAACCTGCATTATGCTAGATGTAAAACCTTACGAGTCTTGTTAGGCAGTCACATAGAAAGAATGCTTCGTCTATTATACTTCATGTTGGATACATGTCCTACATCGTCTTTTTTTACAAGTAGAAAAAAGCCTTTCTTCCGAACTGAGACATACATGCAAAAGCAGAGAAATCGCAGAGAATTTCCTCATACTTAGTTTCGCATGTGATAAATTCTGTTTTACGTAGTCCAATATAAGACTTCATATGTTGTTGTATACCAGACACTTGTTAATGTAGAATTTTAAGGACTTTGTCAGCTGGTATAGCGCAAAGAATGAGGCTGACAGGAGGAGCCATCATAGTCGCCTCGTTCGCCCTCACACCGCTCGACCGAGCAGCCCACATGGCGTGCGCGTGCTGGCTTCATGGCTACGCCCGACACGATTGGTGTTCTATCCAACCAATCACATAAGCCAGAAGCTCAGCCCACACGCAAAACATTGAAGGGCACTTCTGATTGGTCGGATTTCAGTCCAATTTGGGACACTG